TATTTAATGTTCATCATGTCGGAAATAAAATATCAAATGTACTTAGTAACGTTCCTACTAATTGTAGGGTTATCTGAGAATATTGGTATTTGAGGATCTTAGAATACTTGGAAGTTAGCGATATTTTAATTGTAATTCGTGTAGGTCCCTGAAATGGTGGGTAGCTGACGTGATTCTGAATAATATGCAGTGTAATATCAAATGTACTTAGCAACTGTAGTTGTGAGTTTATTTAATCAATCAATTTTATGAAAAAAAGAATGACGACAAAGTAATAAGTTCCGTTTAGAACCGACAACGAATAGCTGTCGACAACCGATACAGCACGAAACGGCGATAAAAAGATTCCACGTAAAATCCTGATGATCAATCAAACCGCAAGCTTGATTTAGAATCGCAGGATTTTAGCGGAAAGTGCGGCCCACGTTTCTTGCGGTAACAAGAGGTTCGAGTCCGCCGTTGAAGTTAAAAAACGGATTACCTGTTGGAAAGGGTTTCGTAAAACGTATTGTTACGAGCACTTTCGCGAAACTTTTAATCCTTTTGTTTTCAGAATTTACTGCGTCCAAAGTAGAGAACCAGACCGGGCTCTATCACGCTACGTAGCGCGAAGTAGCGTTTAAATTTTAGAACAATGTAGCTCCTCCACGAATCGCGACTTCAAAAATTGTGTATCTAACAATGCTTTACGATTTCGAAGGTAATCGTTATCGTACACGTTACTACAAACAGAAATGGTAATATTCGTGGAATTTGGATTAAAATGCAGTCATTCTAAAGGCACGTTCAATTGTAACGAGAATTTATTTGTTAGCGTTGGAATAACTGGTGCACGAACGGAAGCGAAGGAATGACAAGACGGAGATGACCGAACTCGTGTTCGATCGAAAGTAAACGATACGCAGATAACGTAGAACGAACCGGAACGTAGAAACCCGAAGATATCCGTAGATTTCAAAAAGAAAAAATCATTATTCTCAAACACTCGTTCGTTTATTTGATATTTAAACATGAATGAATCCTTTCTATTTTATGCTTGTACACGAAAGACATTCGAATAGGTTTTATAAAGAAATAAAATAAAATTCGCAAAGTGAATACATTTTCGGCTGAAACCATAGTAGAAATTCGTCGGTACCCAGGATAGCTTTTAATCGATCGAAACAGTTATCCGCAAAAGGAGAAGTTAGAATTTAAACCTCGATTCGATCAAATTTTTTCTCCGTCGAGCAACGAAAAATTCGCAGACCAACACAGACTATTTCTATCAGAAGCGGGTTATCTATAATTCCGATCGGTAAGCTTTAATTTCGCGAGGAATAGTCAGATTCTTAATCAAGCCCGAAATCCCTTTCGAAAGCTGCGTCTTTTCAGCCTTCTCTATTATTAGACATTGGCCCCCGGAGCTCTCGGGCAAATTTTAATGAGAATACTTAACGGGAGCTCATATTCTGACACGCATTTCCCTCTGATTACACATCCAAACTTTCTGGGACGCTGAATAAGAAGAGAGCAACGGGTGCTCAAACTTCTGACCGCTTCGTTATGGTTGAAGACGGTACTCTTTCACGAATGGACATTTGCTCCTCGCAATTTTCTTTGGTTGCAGAATTTGCTAATTTTTATGATTACAGTTTAGATAGACATTTTCTAAGAGAGCCCTACGCTCTTGTTTTTTATTAATTGAAACGATGCGATGTCCAGGTGCGAGCGTCTCCCATCGAAAATGTTGCGAGGTGTACATGGTAATAATTATACAGTGTGTCTCACAATTAGTGTAAGAGCCAAAAGGGGTGGTAGATTCTGAACAACTTTTTCCTTTGCCAAAATATTGGTTGATGCTCCATTTTCGAGTTGTTAGCAAAAAACACTGAGCAATGAGAGCGCATAGACCGAGCGACAGCGTGAGTGATAGCTTAGAGTGGCGCTCGATCGTCGTGAACAAGCGTATCGATACCGCGTCGGATATCAGGTGAAAGTTAAATCGAATAATAAATTAAGAAGTTAAGAATAATATTAAGTTCTTCGTTATTATTAAATAGGAGATAAATTAGTTGTTGTTTACTCGGATCAAGTATATTGTATTTATTTTATGCCTTCGAAAAAGAATGGCAGTTGTAACATTTACGGAGAGAATACCGTAGAAGTTTAATTCATATGCTATGAAATATTCTGAAAGGTTGGAGTACGACACGCCGTGAATGTGCAAGAGGGTTGAAATATCGCGGGTAAAATCTGTTCCAGGACATAGTCAAAAGTCAAAATCCATGAAGAAGCCTTGTCACGAAAGCGCATTAGCAGCTCGAGTGCGTGGGTTGAAAGAATAGAGTATTAGGCGAGCCACATTGTAATTTAAAAATTAGAATAAAACTAGTCACAATACTAACATGTTCCATTTACAAATTTTTGTTATCTTATCTTCCATTTCCTTTCTCCCGTTTATTTCGCTCTCGTTTATTTTGTCAGTGTCATTATTTTCGAGAGTCTCTCTTTGTTAACGAAATATTCTTTTTCGTCGCGTTTCGTCGCAATTAACTCGAATTCATTGATATGCTGTTATTCGTTAATTACTGCCCAACTTGTTTCTCTTTCGGTAACGTTGACATTTTTGCTCTGCTAACCTTTTGAGAAACAATAGAGTATTAGGCGAGCCACGGGACGCCGACACTGTGCATTTTACGACACAAAGCCTGCTTGAATTACATTTCGAGTAAGAGTCTAAGTCTATTCGTCGCGGAATTCGAGCGAGAACGAGTTGAAGCTAAGAGCACGAGTTGGTCGCTTAATTTCCTGTTTTAAATGCGGAACGGAAAGCGCGCCAGTCGAACCGGGTAAGATGAAAAACCGAAATCGAATGAACGGACTTTGGCCGCCGGCTAAATAGCTACCCGTTTTCCAACGATCCAACTTTTCCACCAAACGCAGAAATGCCTCGGGTCGTTTCTGACCATGCATTTTTCAGTACTCGCTCGATCGGAACATTTGCATAGAAGCTGCTGTCTATCCTGAAAAAGATCTTTGTTTAGCTACTTCCATTTTTCAGATTTCCGAAGGTCACGGATGAAGAAGAGGGTGGAAAGTGACCATAAATCAAATTCTACTCGTGATATGATATTTTAATAGCTTGCCAAGAAATAACTTGTGCCAAGTTTCAAATTTGTAGCTCTGGAGATAGATGGAGACAAGGATGAAGCATCAGGTTGCACAATTTCTTCTATATTAATTTTTCATGCAGCAGTTTGACTCCATCTTACATTTACTTTTCACAAGAACGAGATTTTTATTAACGCTAGAACTACTGACATTAAATGCTCGTTTATCGAAGAATGAAAAATAAAATTAAAAGGGAAATAAATAAATATTAAAGCATCAAGTAACATATAGAACTAGTTTTTACTTCAACAAAATATGACAGACATTTCTATAAAATTACGACAATAAAATTTTGTAATATAAAATGAGAAATCTGAAACCAGTTATTTTGGCTGGTGCAAATGTTTTATATTTTTAACAGCTTGAAAATCTAAACGAATGTCCACATTTGCAAGCAAGTTTCAACTGCAATAAAATTGCAGTAATCTCTTCCGTAATAATATAAACGAAAGGATTATTATTCCAATGAAAAAGGAGAAGTCCACTTAGCCTATATTTTCCGTATCTATAAATGGAGCATGTCATTTCATCCCGAATCGGTAAAATCAGCAAAACATTTGATATTTCAAAAGTCGATTCAGTTCACAGCGGAGTTTATTCCGCGATATTCGGGTTATCGATCTCGCGGAGCTTACCTCACTATAAATAGCAAACGGTATTCGTAGACAGTGATTTACAGAAAAATGCAATTCGCAATCTGTCCGATAACACTGTATTCCAGTAATCGATTACGAAAGAATCGTGCACTTAAACAAACGCAGTCTGTTCCCGTTGCTGGATACAGGAAGTGTTCATTCGTGTACAATGATTTAGTAAAATGATAGCGGACGTAACTCGACAATTTACCGGAAAATCGCGTTTAGAATCTCACCTGCGTATAATGAAACACGGGATGAAACACCGAATTTCCATATTTTGACGGCAAATTTTAATCCCCTTAATACGGGAATAAAGTATTTCGATGGGGTATCGATGTCCTGCGATAAATTTTACTTCACGGATTGGTTTATTCGAAAATTTGCAAGTTAGGTGAGATGTTCAGAAGTTGGGGATTTTGGAACTTGAAAATTTTGGAAAATTGAGAATTTTGGAAATTTGGAAATTTGGAATTTTGGAAATTTGGAATTTTGGAATTTTGGAATTTGGGAAATTTGGAATTTTGGAAATTTGGAATTTTGGAAATTTGGAAATTTGGAATTTGGGAAATTTGAAATTCGGGAAATTTCGAATTTTGGAAATTTCGAATTTTGGAAATATGGAATTTTGGAAATTTGGAATTTTGGAAATTTGGAATTTTGGAAATTTGGAATTTTGGAATTTTGGAAATTTGGAAATTTGGAATTTGGGAAATGTGGAATTTGGGAAATGTGGAATTTGGGAAATTTGGAATTCGGGAAATTTGGAATTCGGGAAATTTGGAATTTTGGAAATTTTGGAAATTTGGAATTTTGGAATTTTGGAATTTTGGAATTTTGGAAATTTGGAATGTTGGAAATTTTGAGAATTTGGAAATTTTGGAAATTTGGGAATTTTGGAAAATTTTGAGAAGTTGGAAATTTTGAGAATTTGGAAATTTTGGAAATTTGGCAAATTCTAGAACTTTCAGAATTTTAAATTTAAAAAACTTGAAAATTTTCCAATTTGAACTTTGAAAACAATAATTTACTACAGAAACATACCAACATTTTCCTTCCAAAATCCGCATAAAGAATGCACCCCGACGAATTGAATAATCAGAGACGATCGAGTGTCATAATCGCATTCCATATTAACGATCATAAAATAAATAATCATCGTCGATCGAACGTGATAAAACGCGTTGATTATTGGAAAAAATGGCGGTTTACCTCGAAAATTGCGTGCGGTCTTCTGATCTATCCTCGCATCGGGTTTATTTGCAATTAATTCGATGTTGTACACACACCAGGTAACGTCCAACTATACCAAACGATTTTCCGCCGATAATTAACGCGTCGTTGCGGACAAATACTTTAGTAGCGGCAAGTTTCATGAATAATTGATAAGGAAAACACGAATTAATGGTCTTCCAAGTTCAATATTTAAACGTCAGACTGTAATTAACCGTTGTTGATGAAATTATATTATCGATACAATATTATCGTACGTTTAAACGCGCGTTCGATGTGTGTCGTAATTAAAATGGGAAATGAAAAACCGAGCTACGAAAATGAAAAAATCGTTTCCCATGCGTTATGCTTTTGGGAGATTAGTCTGCACCATAAAACACAGTTTAATTAAAACATTACTTCGTTAATCTAAAATCTCTCGAATTTGCAAATTATTTGCGATCCACATTTCATTGCAAAACATTTTGTACTTGTTTTTCGTTAACTACTCTTGTATGTAAACAATCAGTGATGCTTGGTAATTTTAATTTATTAAATGATCATCTTCTATAATTTCCTCCTATTAAATCGTAGATTTCAAAAATAATGCGAGTGCGATGCATGAAAGCTCGACAAGTTTTCCGACCCCGGTTCTTAAAATAAGATACTGTAAAAACAAAATCACCGCTTCGAGTTTCCAAAGTATCGACAGTTTCGAAATTCGATAAAGCTTCGAGGAAAATCCCTGTTCCCTAATTTTACTCCTAAATTTCGTATTCCCTTAACTCTCAGAAGTCGTATTCCGTTTCTATTTTTCTCGTCTGGAAATTTGCGCTGACCGTTTCCCTATCCACGTAATTTTCCCCGGCGAAACTTCTTCAGCCTCCGTTTCCCTGCACTCGAACTGCTACCTGTCACGCATATTCAAGTATCCCTGTTTCGGAGTCTAATTGCAGATGGTTTGCATTCAAGCCAAGACACGGTAGACCGAGTAAACCTACTGCTACGGCCCCGTGATTCAGCAAAGCGTCTTTATTTACGAGCCAGCGGTACAAACGCACATACAACCAACTCTACATTTCGACTCGTAAAATCTTGATTCCGTTTTTACGACGGTCGCTCCTGAATTTTTCAAACTAACCGCCATCTTTGCTCACCTTTATCTCCTCCGACTCTGCTCGCGCTTCGGGTGACCGGAAACGCTCCGCTCTTCCGGCAGTTCCATCGACACGATCACGGTTGTAACCCAAATTCGAATTTCAGAAGCGTGTTCAGTTATTCGGGTATTCCGAATTCAAAGCCGTAGTGATTTCATTTATTCGTGCTTCGAAATTGCTTCAAGTTGTTTGAAGTATTTGAATTGGAAGTATGAGACTTTTCATCGGAGCAAATACACCGATGTCTGGACCATAACCTTATATTTTAATATTATTAACTGTAAAGTTTAAGCACAGCGTACACCGTTGTAATAATTAATTAGGTAATTACTTTAAGTATCAATTATTACGAAAGGACTTATACTACTTTCAAAACATACACACTCACAATAACATTACACATTTATTGGCTTATTTGTAAACATGTTCAATGTTAAAAAGGAACTGCGTGTCTACTACAGGACGCGTCCGGTCGTTCGGAACGGTTCGGCAACGTTCGGTAATTTTCGGCGCTCAAGCTTCTCGCGAGTCGCGTCTGTTTATATTTTGACCTGTGTACATCAAAAACGTTTTACGAATAGTTTATTATAAAGAACGACACAGTGGTTTTTCGTATACAATAATTAAAAATCTCAACATTCTATATCACTGTATTATAAAGGTGAAAAGATATATAACTCTGTACAAGACTTATTCACCTTCGAAATTATAATTCTATAAAAAGAAAAACGTTTAGTACGTAGTAGTAAACACGAGAGATAGTGCGACAGTGGTGTAACGTATAAAAACTAATCAAAAACGTCCTTCTGTTTTATATAAGAATGTAGGAAATTTACGAACACTTTAAGAGATACGGTGCCAAGGAAAAGGGGAGAAACGAGGAGAATCAAGGGTGACACGTGGTCTCCACAATTGCCTGTTGGACGACCCAGACTTGGCAGAAAGGGGAGCAGACGGAGAGGGACGATACAAGGACCGAGTGGAGAAGAGCGAGATGGAAGAGAGCGGAAATAAAGTGCGGTGGTCGCAGTTATAGAAAAGACGGAAAAAGTCGAGTGCAGAGGGCGATAGAGGAGAAAAAGAAGCGGAAGATATACGAGATGAACTTCCAATCAACTTGGTCTAGTTTTATTACCGGGGATAGTGGATTTATAGTTGAATACGGTAAATTTTACTGCAGTTAAATACCGAGATACGTTTCTTGCGACATAGATTTAATTGATTCTTTCAGAAGGCGAGACTGAAAGAAGCGTTGCAAAGAGGGAAGAAAAACGAACGGCGAAGAGGGTCAACACGGAGTGTAATCAAGGTTATGAAAAACAGGGTGAAAAGAGTGTTTACGCGAGAGGAGGAGGTAGACGCGGAAAAACGGATACACGGGGCTGCGGAAACACGTAGGGCGGGAAAAAAGGGGTGGTAAAGTGGAAGAGACAACAAGTAACCGGCGTAAAAAGTTGTAGACGAGAAGGGACGTAAAAAAGGGATGTGCAGGTGGTGCGGATAAGAGGAAGCCTAGTCCATTGCGTGAAAAAAGGAATACACTCGAGGACAAATAGAAAGCAATACAAACGGAATGGTTAATGCGACAAAACGAAGATTCTGAAATACGAATAAAGGGTAAGAGAATATGCAGCGAATAAAGGGGTGCATAACACCTTCTCGGGGAAAAAGGAAAGGGAACGTCCGAGGTAATAAAGGCGACCGATAGAGAGAAAGAGATTACGACGGAGGGGGTTGACGGTGAAAAAGAAAATACGCAGAGTCCGTGCGAAGAAAAGGACGACGTGCAACCGGGGGTTGGAGAAAAGAGAAATAAAATGGCAAACTGAGCGAGGTCTTTGAGAGAATAAGAGAGCAAAGTGGAGTTCAGTAGCTCGTTTCAGCCCGTATCGTCGGATTTAACATAAAGGAAAACGGCCTTAACCGTGTCGAACCCTCTCCCTCTCAACCCCTTTACGCCGTTCTGAATGTCGAAACAATTTCGAACGGAATCGCGAGCACAAACAACCAACGACGTCGACGACGAAATCGAGAGGAACACTCGGGGCACGTTGTTTGCGGTCTTGAAATTCATTTTCATTCGCGAGACTCTTTAACGGTGGCCAGGAAAGTGGCGCCGACTCGAAGAGGGTGGATGAAAGTGGGTCGGAGAATGCGGATCGTTTAATCGCGTATTATTAGAACAGAACGAGGCCTCGTGTTGCTACGAGGGCAATTTCGAGCGATAAATTTTCATGATGCTGTTAATTAATTTGATCCTTGATTACGCGTGCTCGCGTCAGCTTGCGATATTGATTTCCTCACGATTATGCGATCGATAATCAACAGCGGTTCAACCAGACCCGACGAGATGACGGATTTCATTTTATCGAATGGCTCTCGTCATTTTATATTTATTCGTGTCTCGGAAAAGTCATTAGCAAGACTTTGCGATGGAGTTCCCGCAACGGAATTTTCTGATTATTCTACGAAAATAAAAAGCTATAATACACTTTTTTAGTGGTATTCGTAATACAAATATTTGTAGATATTTATACTTGTAGATCGATCGAATAATTTTCAGGGCAATGAAGAAAATTATGTCATGACCAATTTAACTAATCGATAAGATTGATTTAATACAGCAATAATTCATAGAATACACAGGAAACAGCAACAACCTGTTCTTTAATAAACACGTTATTACATTCTATTTGATTACTCGGAAAGTGTTGTATGAAACTGCAACAGCCATTCGTATCGATGACGACCTAATTGCTATTCATTTAACAAACACCGTTCTATTTGTCCTCGATCTACCCCGTAATAAACGATAAAGAAAGTTCGTTTACAAAGTTTCCCAGGAAGTCGCGCGACAAAGCCAGCCACTATAGAGATAAAAACGGCAGCATAATTCAGAAGAATGACAGAGATGTTCGCCGCTGTACAAGAAACGGAAGTTTGTCGGTTTTAGATGGCGAAAGTAACTTTCACCACCGGCAAGAATTCCGGAAAATGCTACGAATGTCTGAATGAAGAGGCTCCAGCGTGTTTCTCATAATCATAAACACAGCGAAATACCGGTGGAAAACAAACTTCTCTCGTAGCATCAATCCCACGATAACGCGTTTAAGCTCGGCTTAATCCGGATTGTTATTTCTTTCGACGGTTATTACGGAAGCGTGGCGAGTCGGAAGCTCGGCGTCGCTTTTTGGCGGTTCTTTTAACCCCTTGCCTTCTTACGAATGCTCGATGGAAATTAATACTGCTAAGAGGATTTTATAATTGTCCACTTTATATTACACAACTGTGCTATGAATTTTATAGGGACTTGAGAAATTTTATTTTTTTTTTGTTTATTTATAGAAAGTCAAAATAATTTTGTATGCTGCTTGTATCAATAATTTTGTAATTTTAATTTTGGAATTTCTACTTCATGTTATATTTTTTCTGCAGTAGTGTAATAGCTTTTAAAGGGATGTAATGAATTTTATTTTCTTCTTAATTATTTACGTTCAATTGCAGGCTACTTAAGAGCAATAAAAATTTTATTGGTTTTACAATCAAGACATGATTCACCAATAATAATTTCACTAAAGCATCTTCAATTTACACCTACGTCCAACTTTTATTGCCAAGGAATATTTAGCAAGTCATAACAGAAAAGTTTAAAATTTCTTTTTAGCCGAATGTGTGACATTCCTGACAGCGTCGTATAATTTCTCCTTCGAGCGCAAGCGGTGTTACGCGTCCTTTAATGTAAATAAAAAAACGCGAATTTACATGTACGCGATGCAAATGGAGATATACGTATTGTATAAGAAAGAATAACCCGGGGCAAGGAGATAGCACTTGCTCGAAAAATACTCTCCAAGGGACAATAATCGCGAAAGACAGAATTATGGAAGCTAAGATAAACGTAAGAATGGTAGATAGAGCGGCAGTCTTTGAATTATTGCATACCACTTTTCAAATTCCACGGGAAAATTCATTTTATGCGGAAGAATTGGATAGATTCTTTGCCGCTCTTCTTATGTTGCTGAAATATTTATAAATTGCACCTTACTGGGTACCGTAGGAGATGGACTTAAACATGAACTGATATATTTCAGTGATATAAGGTATCGTATAAAAATGATATTATGTGTACATATAATAATGTTCTACACTATATGTATAATAATGTTGTATACTATATAATAATGATGTTATTTACTATGTAATAATGATGTTATGTACTATGTAATAAATGCTTTTGTAAATTTGCAGTTATCTGTACTGATAGACAAAGATCGATCACATGTTATGCACAGTAAATTCAGATTCAACATCTCCGAGTAGTTGCGTATCATATGTACATAACATTGTAACCAAATTACCTATCAGCCCTAACTTCACCTACCTTAAATTAATGTAACCTGAGTAACGTAACTGATTTGAACGGTAAGATACACCCCAGCTGAACCTAACAAGCTCGAATTATGAAATGTACCTTCACTTAAGGCACACGAAGTAATCATCAAAATTAAATTAATATCAAGCTGTAAAATGTTAAAAATTGAAAAGGTGAAAGGGTACTCGATCTGATTTATTACAAGTCTAAAATAATTTTGACCGTATAAGAGGATTTGTAAATTAGAGAATGTCCACGGTTCAGTGAACTATGAAAAGGTTTTCGAGCAAGGAATCGAGCAATATTTAATGAAATTTACGGCACATAAATTTCTGAAGCGTGGCTATTCAACCCATAAAAGCTGCTCAGTGCGGTTTAATACAGAGAGATGCATCAATCGGCTCAAGCAACTTTTCCAAGTGACATAACTCTATGACAGTGTAATGCTGCCCTCAAAACGAACCGATCAGACAATCGATTTCCCCTTTGACCTCTGGCGCGCTTTATCTTTGATTTCGAACGCGAACTCGATTGGTTTCTAGGAAACGCTTTCTTTTCCAGTTTTAAAGCTCTCTCGGAGTTAATTTAAAATTGAAAGACACTTAGAGCTTCGGTATCGAGAGAGGTAATTCGGGAACGAATGGTCTCCAAGAATTTGAAAATAGGAACGATTCTACGATCCTGAAATTATTTGCAATGTTGCAGATATAATTACAAATTAATTTTAGTTATAAAATGTAAATACATTTAAGTTATAAAATGTAAATACATTTAAGTTATAAAATATAAATATATTTAAGTTATAAAATATAAATACATTTAAGTCATAAAATGTAAAGCAACATGAAATTAAAAAATTTTAATTGTCTATAAAAAATTTCAATCGACCATGAATATAAAATAAAAATTTCAGCCGACTATAAATACGAAATAAAAATTTCAACCGCCATGAATATCAAAATGTCAGTTCGAATAAAATAAAAGCTCGAGAAACAACGTTACAAACACTGAAAATATACATAACCCTAAAAGAGAATAAAGGGCCGAAAAAGTTAAGGAAATATCTGAACAACCTAATCGAATTATATTCAGGGGTCGTTCGTTTCTTTTTTCGGTCCGGTATCGAAAGATGCGGGGTTGCGGTCTCAAGAGGATTATACAGTGAAATCGCTGGGAGGAAAATCGTGTTTCGAAACGAACCGAAACTACCCCTACGGCTTCAACTATTTCTGACTTTATCCTAGCTGAATTTTTATCTAACGCAATTCTACGGATTTCGTACAAAGCTTTGATTTTCAAACAGGCACGAACTCGCTAAAATAACTTTTCGGAACGATGAAACACGGGAATGCAATTCCAATCGATCATTATGGATTCGTTACCGAATGCGATGATCGTACAAGAGGCGTTTCGTAGTTTAAATTAGAAAATCTGTTCTGATGCTTTTTTTTTTAAATTTTCGTAGCACGAAATTGAAGATGTAAAAGTATTCTTGCTTTGAGATTGTTAGAGGTTCATTTTTATATGTTTGTTTAAATTGGTTATATTGAATGATCAATTTTAAGACTTGGATTATATGTTTGTTGAAAGATCATCATATTGAATGATCAATTTTAAGACTTGGACTATATGTTTGTTTAAGTTGATTATACTGAACAATTAATTTTAACACTTAGACTATATGTTTGTTTAAGTTGATTATATTGAATGATTAATTTTAATAATTAGAATATATGTTCGTTTAAATTGGTCATATTGAATGATCAATTTTAACACTCAGACTATATGTTTGTTTAAGATGGTTATATTGATTGATCAATTTTAATACTCAGACTATATGTTTGTTTAAAATGTTCATACTAAATGATCAATTTTAACACGTAGACTATATGTCTGTTTAAGTTGATTATATTGAATGATTAATTTTAATACTCAGACTATATGTTTGTTTAAATTGTTCATACTAAATGATCAATTTTAACACTCAAACTATATGTTTGTTTAAGCTGATTATGTTGAACAATTAATTTTAATACTCAGACTATATGTTTGTTTAAATTGTTCATACTGAATGATCAATTTTAACACTTAGACTATATGTCTGTTTAAGATGCTCATATTGAATGATCAATTTTAACAACTCAGACTATATGTTTGTTTAAGATGCTCATATTGAATGATCAATTTTAACAACTCAGACTATCATAATACGTGGTTGACATTTTTCCAAGCAAATAACATTAAGAATTTAAACCACAATTTTTTAAATATCTATGTCATTAAGAATTTGTTCTTTTACCAAATTAAAAATACTCACATTGACTTGTAATTATGAAACAAAAATATAACAAGATATTGACAAAGTATTTGATAAGATTTGTTCATCCTTTGCACTCACACTTATTCTGTTTAATACAACAACTTCAAATAAATATTTTAACTGAATCTATAATATTATATATATAATAAGTGAACACAATAAAGGAGAAAGTAGCAATTAATAACAGAAACAGATCTTCAAAAAAAATTTTACCACACTTAACTAAAATGTCTCAAATTGCTATCTGCCAAAGTCGAGTGCAAATAAAAACTACCCCTTGCAAGTTTCAGTGTCAATATATTAATCATACGCTATAACAGTGTATCGCAGTCAAACATATCTACCGTATATACAAAACTATATTCTGCCTTTTCAAATATGTCCGTTTATCGACTGCCTCAAAGTCCACTCCGCAGAAATATCAGACGTTTCTACCGCTTTCCAAAGAATAACAAGAAAATTAGATCCCCCATAAACGAAGCGTTCGAAAAGTCGCGTAAAAAGTAGAATTACCATTCTCCTAGGAAATTACCATTTTGCCAGGGCACTGAAAGTTTTTCCGAACTCCTCGGAGCAATCGTAACGTAAACATCGCGGGAACAGGGTAAAAAATAACGCGTACAAACAGAGAGTTTCGATGGATCTGCTTTTGAAATAGGGTGCGATTCAGGAATGTTTTGAAGGAAAGCAAACGGTTGAGACGCGTTATCCGGGGGTCCAAGAACATCGTACAGCGAAAAAAAGAGCAGAGGGAGAGGACCGGGTTCATCGTGGGAGTCAACGACACCGAGAAACGTTTCGCGACCTTAATAGGATCGCGCCTACTCGAAACTTCTCCTGATATAAGAATCTAATTATCGACTGGCAATAGGAAAGGGAGGCGATATAAATTTCGCGCGTGAACAATTTCTCAAGTTTGGACGATTCGAAAACCGGGAATCCAGAAGTCGACAGAGAGCTTTGAACCGTTGATAAATGGAACAATAGAGCTATCGACGAAGAAAATGGCTGACCCAGGAATTTTAATGTCAGGGATTCCCTGCTCCTTTGATAATTTTAATCGGAGGCTACGACTTTATAAACTATATAATACAAACTTTATAAACTGTTGTAATAAACTATTGTAACCAATAATTTGAAATAACTTGAGAAATTTTAAGGATGAACAAAAATTAATAAAAAACGGAAACAATTTTCTGACGTGAAGAAACACGCTGATTATCGAAGCGAAGTTTAAACAAGAAGTTAAATAATTAAAAACTGAAAAGCTAGCGATTTTAAAAACGAATAGAAGCTCCTCAAAGAGGCGAAAATTTCTAACGATGGAACACGCTGATTATCAAAGCGACGTCTAAACACGAAGTTAAATAATTAAAATCTGAAAAGTTAGCAATTTTAAAAACAAACAGAAGCTCAAAGAGACGAAAGTTTCGAGCGCGAAGAAATTTATTGATAGAGTCTTGAAATAAAATTAAGCAATTAAGACTTGACCCATAAATTTAAAAAACGAAAGTGTCAAACAAAATTAAACTTGTCAACGATTTAAAAAAATGTCCTCCATAAACTCGCTAATTGTTACAATAAATTTAATCTATTCAGAGAAGACAAAAATATCACCCGTTATGAAAAATATAAATTGAAAGAATTTCTATGTCCTAAAATATCTTTTAATTCTAAGAGAAATTAAATTTTAAATTTGTAAAAAAAGTCAAACTCTCCTGCCTATTTGTCAAACGTATCTAAAATAATATATATCGCCTACAAAAATTCGGGGAAGCATGTTTGCATTTAGACATGCGACGCAGGAATAGCCCGGGGCTCCGAAAATACACGATACGTCGCTGCGTAACAGAGCGCGGTCGCTGCAGCTCCATATTTTAAGACGTCACAGGAACTACATAAAAACGGGACGCTCGAGTATATAGGAAGAGTGCGACGGCGTGTTTCGGTCCCTGTTGAACGCTTCAACGTTATACGTGTATGATATCGCTGGAAGAGAAGCCAGCAACGAACGTTGAAATACGTGTGGGACGTATATCTCGTGTGACACTGGCGGGCTGACACAACGCAATTGCTATGCCGGCTGTCACTCGCGTTTATTAAGTCACACTTCGTTCCGATTCGCCGAATCGACCAATTTTCTTTCGTACTAGATGTCTCAGCTATCATCGATGATGTAACTTCGTGAGATAACTTTATGTGGTTCTATAGGTCAGTAGTTCTCAAATACTCGGTTATACCCTAGGAATATAGGGACATAGGTATTGCAAGATTTTCGAACCTAGGGAATTTCTGATGTTGTGATATTTGCGTGTGATATCTGTTTGCGTGGATACGGGCATCTAAGGATATTTTAATATGTCGGTATGAGCGTCTAGGGATATTTGTATGCGTCGGTATTGTCGTCTAGGGATATTTGAATGTGTGGATATGAGCGTCTAGGGATATCCGAATCTATGGATACATGAGTCTAGAGATAATCGAATGTAGTACTCGAATAACCCAACCTAGAGATATTGAGGTCAATGACACTTTGAATCTACGAGTATTCTAACCTAGGGATATTCGGAACATGGGAAACTCAGATCTAGAATTCAGCCCTAAAAATATTCGAATATGTGACCGAATAAATTTTGAATTATTTAGACCTACAAATATTTAATTCGTAGAAAACTTGCATCTAGAGATAATCTAGGGATATTCGAATTGTGAAACCTAGAAACACAGTGATCTAATCTAAACACCTCACCATGCATTATTTGTTTCGCGTCATTAATTTCTGATTGATATGATTAGAATGCTCATAGTACATTCCAGAACAAAATACACCTACAACGATGCCATGACACTACATATTCATGAGTCATCTTTTTATGCAAACAAGTCAAGTTGTCATAGCACTGTACCTCGTGTTAACCACCTACGTGTTCTACAACAATATGTCAGGTTATGTCACGTATGTGACATTAACCTCCTAACTGGACATTACGAGTAGACTAGGACAGTTAACTTGTAGATAATATCATATACATCAAAAAACCTTTGCTCTTCCATATAACAATGCGTCTTCATTAAAAAAGATATGGGACGAATCTATTCGTGTTACACCCACGCAAGATTTTCTTTCGATCGAAAAAATTTAACTGTTAACAAGTGACGCTGCACAAAAGCGTCTGAAAATGTCATGCCGACAAAAGCACGATTTTACAGGAACGCGAAGACGTACTCGAAGACGTAATTGGACACTACACGCCTGTAATAACAGCTGCTCGAATCCCTTTATCGAATATCACGCGCCTACATCAACATTCGATTACGCTTCATGCGTTCTTCCTACTTTGCCAGCAAAGGAAACCACGACTTTGTGCCCTCGTTCGTA